GGGTAGGAGGTGCAGTGGTGTTAGGCATCCGGGTTGTATACTTCGTTTGGATTTTTCACCACGTAGCAGAGTAGGAGGTGCAGTGGTGTTAGGCATCCTCATGTGCGTTTGAATGTTTCTGACTTGCATTCAATGACGTTGTGTAGCCAAAAAGGGGTAAGCTGATGAAGGGGCGGCTGTCGAATTTCTTTTTACGTTCGTTATTTTTTTCAGCATTTCAATAGTGGTGTGGTTAGCCGAGAGAGAGAAGATTATGACCTCTTCGCAAGGATGACAAACATATAGAGAGAAACAGAGATATCATGATTGACCCAATCGATCCCAGACATTTCATAGAATATCAGACTCAATTCATTTTATTGATCTAGAAAGTTTATAAGTGTACTAAGGGCAACTCACACGGGGACCTGATCACCTTAAATCCCAAACAATGACCTCTTCGCAAATGCCCTCAAACAATAACCCTTCTGTGAGCGGTCTTAAGGTCTGCGAGAGGACCTTTTTTTAGACCACCTCCAGAGATGGTCTCAAATGCCCTTTCAATTTTAAATTATTTTTTCAAGTGTTACCTAGTTATAAAACTTAACTTCTTTTGACGAATGCGTTCACACTGGCGGGGCATCGCATCACTTTCAAACATGGGGTCTCGTCTCCATATGCACAAATTACAAAAAAGAGACCAATGTACCTTTTTGTCTTCTTGCGGCGCATTCAATTTTATATTTTGCACATTTAAAGAGTATTTTGCATATTTCGAGAACAGTACAGCGTGTAATTGGAAGTTTAATTCAAAAAGTCGTCAACTAGCAAACATTCATCCAAGCGACACACAAAAAAATGCACCAAAGTAATCGAGACGACAAACATGAATAAAGGGGAGAAGTAGATGAAAGGGAAGAAAAAAAAGAACACGAGGAACACAGGATTCGTGAAAATTTAACAAAACAAATTGTTAGATTTGCACGAAATGTGTTCAAGATTATGATAGTACGTTTTTCAGGCCTCCTCCACGAACAAAATTCTACGTGAAGTAAGACAACCGCAAAAAAAATCATAGAAAATTAGTTTTTGTCACTTTTTGATAACCACTGGAAGTGGCAAGGAGAAAAGCAGGTTTTTCGACATAAAATCACTACCTGGTGAAGCAGTGTATGTTCAAGAATTGAAATATCTCTTTTTTTGGTTATCTCAAAAAATCATGTTTATAGTTTTATAAAATGTATAGGACGATGAACGTATTTCAGGGTTTTTTTAACGTTCAAATATATTCTCAAACATATTATCCCATATCTGAGCGAACATATTATTTTTTACTGTTTATTTTAGTTTTTTTCTATTTTTTTTAATTTTAAACTCGTGTTTGGCTAAGAATTTGAAGGTGTCTCCCCAAGCCCAGAATTTGGAACCCGACAAAAAACGTAATAAACATGGGATTCGTGAAAACCTCACAATCAGAGAAAACCTAACATTTTTTATAGAATGAAAAAGTAAAAGTCAAACTGTTATTTTTTACACTAAAAGAGAGCGTTTTTAATCATTTTGCGGTAAAAGAGGCAAAAAATCAGGTGAAAAGTCTAGCGTTCCTCAAAACGTGCAAGAAAACCCTTCCTAGCAAAATGCTGGTATATGACTATCAGTCATTCTCAGTAGATTGACAAAAAAACAGAGTTCAAACAGGGTAATTTTGAAGGATGACAAGACAAACTTGAAAGATGTAAAAAAAACGTGTTTTGGTGAATACTCATTTATAAGACTATAAGTTTGTTTCCGCAG